AGCTATGGCTATCAGAAAGAGAGAGAGAGAGAGAGAGAGAGAAGAGCAGACACCTCTCTGCGTTATATAGATTTAATTTTGGCGTCCGCCATTGCGGCGTCGTCACGCCACGAGCTCATCAATTATGTGGCTTCATCGGTGTCTCCTTAATGTCTTATCGTCTTAAAATCGTCGCGAACGAACATAACTCGCCCGCTGGTTCCGTCGCAATTTCGGGAACTGCCTCTTCCCATCTCCCCTTCCCCTCGCCTTCGCGCACTGCCTCGAGAGAATCGCATTAGCCGATCTTAGAGGGTGAACCCGAGATCCTGTGATAAGCAGCTGGTTTCATCGCGCGCGTGTTCGTCGCGTTCAAAAGCGAGGAGCGGAAGGAGGACGGAGAGTCGCATGCGTGCGATTCGCGAGGAACTAAATTAACCGGGACTCCTCACTTTTGATGATTCGGTTCGTTAGGCGACTAATATGATTTTAACAGCGTAATGATATAAATAAATATAATAAGATACGAGAGATAAGATTTCGACAGATTCGAAGAAGATATTGAATTTTTTTGCCGGAGAGATTATACAGTTATTCATTCCAGACATCTCCGTCTGTCATACGAGACTGCTTTCAATCATGATAACGGATTATGGCAACTTATTTGCTTCGAATATTTTTATTTTTTAGTATCCATTGCTTTTTTTTACGAATTTTGCTCTCTGCGAAGATTTTTCTAGCGTTTAATCCTTTTGAGAAATTATCTTCCTCCCAAAGCAATGAAGATTGTGATGGTGCAAAGCACAGTCGAACCCTTTAATCACGATTTTCTACGTTTTTGATGGAGAAACGCGTCTCGCGAGGTGCACTCGTGCACGTGAGCGACCGAGTGCGTGCGGTGCCGTCGCCGTCATACGAAGCCGAGGATGGAATAGCGTAGACATCCCGTCACGACACGATTTTAGCCCGAAGCCGCTTATCTCGCCGCTTCTCGTGCGTCCGTATGCACGCGCGCTTGCGACGACCGGCTGTTATTAGTCGGAGACGTCGCGCGGTTTTAACAACTATAAAAAAAAGTAGTTAACTCGAAGATATCGCGATAATTCTATTCTGGCCTGCAAGTGTGTATTTTAAATACGCGAAAATATTGAAGTCAATCAATTTAATCATTTTTTTTTCAAATCTTATTGTTACTTGATTTGCATTTTAATAATTTTATTTTACGGTTTTGTTATTTTCTTGAACTCGAAAAATCTTGGCATATTTTAAAGGTTCAAATATTTCAAAATGTGAGGAAAAAAGAAATTGATGTTTTAAAAAATTAAAATACTTAAAAAATATACTAAATTCTCGACCGCGACGATTCGCAGTGTTCAAATAATAAGCGGATGGTCACTAATCGTTTTTATCGCTTACTCGGCTTGCGACACTCCGAGGCGATTGTTGGGTCGAAGATGGGTCTGCGTGTCGACGGCTCTTAAAGTCCTAACGAGTCACTTTCCGAGGGAAGAGTGCGAATATCGCTACGTTACATGTCGAAAGCATCTCGTCACCTTGCGTGTTACTTCGGCCCGCCCGGGTGGCTTCGTCATAAAAATTGCTTGCCCGTAAAGAGATCGCTGCACACCGAGGAAGTAAGAGCTTCCTGGACTACTCCGTTCCTCTCTTCTTCCTGTCCCCCTCCTGCCCCCGTTCCCCGCCACCTGTTCCACCGCTGCTCTACCTTTTCTTCCTCTCGAGCGCTGTATGTTTTTCTCTCGAGCGCGCCTTCGTCGCGCTTCGATCCGCGACGCTCGGCGAGATGTACATTTGCTGTTAATCGAAGCGTGAATGAAATACAAAGTTGCGAGGATTCACAGTTCCGATGTACATCAAAATGGAAATACAGAGATAAAATATAAAAAATAATGCTTCTCTCTCTCTCTCTAGCTTTAGCAAACATGCAAAGCGGAAGCTTCAAAGTTCCAAAAGTCTCCACGTTTGCAGGGAATAATTGAAATAAAAATTCCATACAGATATCTACAATTCCACAAAATATTAAATATACAAATTTTTAAAATTTTAGGGAATAATGAGAATCCGATAATCCAAATGAGTGAAAATGCGTGGAAAAAAATTCTGAAAATTTTTCAGTAATCTGAGGATCTCAAAAAAGTCTATATAATAATCTACGAAGATAAATACAAAGCGCGGAATTACAAAGAACGTTGAAGAGAGCTTTCTCGTTGCGATATAAAGAAACGAAGAGATAGAAGTCGTTAAACTTGCTCGACGATTTTCGAGTTTGCGTCGGATCGGATTTACTGGAATATGGGTTTCGCGGGTTTATTTTCGTTATGGATGGCCGCTGAAGTGATTGTCGGTGTAGGGTCGGCCCCTGGCACTTTCCTCGCCACCGGTTATTTATCGGCCGCACCGGCACCACGTGGGACGCTGGACACGCATAATTTATCGCGTGCGACTCCTTACACATAGCGGTCACAGGAACCTCCGAACGTCTCGTGTGAGTCCCGATCGGCCTCGCCCCCACGCGATTATTGAATTCTTGCATATTTTTCAAGGTTCCTGACTTCTCCGACAATATTTAACGTCAAAATATTATAGCATTTAATTAACGAACAGTCAAAAATTTCAAGTTCAAATATATTCAGCGTTCGAACTTGAGATCGGCACTGATCAAATCGCTTGAAATTTTCTAGCAATAAATTTGATCGATCGGAACAAAATTGAAATCGGATTCTAATCTCAAATTCGCCATCGTGAATCTCAATAGCGATTTAATAAGAATACGCAATACGTATCTCTGCCATGCTCATGCAGCAAATATAGTTGCAATCAGCTTCCGGGAAGTCGGATCTAATTCAACGACTGAGTTCCCGTTTGGTCTACAATTAAGCCTCGCTCGCATCGCGCGTCATTTATTGCATAATGCTAATCTTTTTTTTCCATCGTAATGAGTAACAGAAATTATTTGATCGTC